ATGAAGATGCATTCATTTGCAAAATTTCCGTGCTAAATTTATATGAACGTGACACATGAAATAAATTGCATGTGCTATCGATTTTCATGTGATTACATTAATTTTATTTGGTTACTTGACCTCCGCCCTTCATTAAATTAAAGGCAGCTCTGTTTTCAGAGGGTTCAATTCGGAGGGTTCAATTCTGCAATAAAACGGTAATTGCAGTAAACTATAATAAGTGTTTATGAAATACATCATGGGGTATGCGGGTTTGCTACTAGAATACCACCGCGCAGAGTACACAAAACAGCTTAGTGAATCAGCACGATATCAATTGTAATTAGTCAGAGGGGGCGGGTTATTTCACGGCATGCCACATTTTATGAACACATGGCGCTATTTTCGTATTGAAGGTAAAATATTTTATATTTTTTATACTTTTTTATTTGCAGTAAATTCATTTAAATATAGTAGTGCGTATATTGTGTTGTTCTTAAGGTGGACAAGAAAACAGAAGAGCAACACAAGGAATGTTCGGGCGCTGGCGACGCTAGCCAAATGACTTAACCACGCTCCATGAAGGAATGGAGGTTACGCAATTTGAGATATCGCTGGTTCCTGGCTGCTTGACCGTCTGGAAAAACCGGGATCTAACGGCACCGAGTCCCTGACCGAAGGGATAAAAGGCAATGACAGACTACGGCCGACGATGGCAGACTAGATTAAATGAGGATTACTCCATATCCGCAATGAAAAGAGCTGTGTGGAAGTACTGTGTAATTTTAAGTAATATTTGTAATATTTTTCAAAGGTAAAATGTATTAAATCTACCAATCAACGTGTTTACCGCCCAGCGTATATGATGTTTTGTACCCGCTCAATGCTCAAAAGATGGCTAAGAGACATTGTTGCGACAAGGACACAAAAAGCGATCGTGAGCTAACGGCAGCGTGGGCGGGCGGCGTGCGCAGGTCGCAACTTCACGGGCGCGCGCGCGGTGGCGGCCGGCTGGGGCACGACGTCGCAGGGCGGGGCCGTGTCGCCCGTGCTGCGCGAGGTGGAGGTGCCCGTGATGAGCAACGACGAGTGCCGGCGCACGGGGTACGGCGCGCGCCGCATCACCGACAACATGCTCTGCGCCGGCTACCCCGAGGGACGCAAGGACTCCTGCCAGGTACGACTCTCCCCCCTCCAACGCTCGATGGGCTTGCGTGTGGCTCTTCCGCCTTAAGGCGGCTCCGCACAGGCGGCGTGCGGCGAATTCCGAGTTGTCTGGACGGGTTGCTTGCGATTCGCCGAGCGCCACACATTCGGTATTCGCCCTACCCACCGTTTGTCCGCCTTTAGGACACAAAAGGAGCGAACATTCGCCGAACAAATCAGCTGTTCGGGATTGGGCGAGCAGTAGCTCGCTGCTTGGCGAATGCCGAATGTGTGGAGCCACCTTTACTTACGTTTCCTTTGCATCTTCTTTGTTTTTCACTTAATTATTCTTGCCCAAGTTGCTGCTTGTCAATTCACTCTTGCGCTGACTCATATTTCCCTTTCGTCTTTTTCTTTCATCTTTCTCTTATTGGCTTATACGTGCCTCGGTTGCTGCTTCTCTCTTCCCTCTTACGCTCCATTCACTTTTACTTTTCATTATTATCTTTCTTCCAGCTTTCTCTTTGCTTTTACTATTTTTTATTGCTTCATCTGCCTAGTATATCCTCTACTTCTTACTTCCTCGTATTCCACTCACATATACTTTGTAGACCATTCTTTTTCCTTCTTCTTCTTTCTTACTTTCTTATTGGTTAATATTTGCCTCATGTACTGCATGTCATTTTCCTTCCCACATACCTTCCATTCACGTTTCTCTTTGACCTATCAATTTTCTTTCTTTATTACCTCTTTGGCTTAATTTTGTGTCCTATCTTTATCCTTTCCCCATATCCATGTGCTCTGTTGCCATGCTGCTCTGTGTCCAAATGCTTCATCACATTTCCCTCGTCTCCCATTTTGAAAACTTTCCTCTTTCTGTATTTTCACCCGCATTCTAGAATGCAACGTTTTGCTCTCTTCCTTTCCTTTTATCGTTGTTTCCTTCACGCCGACTCCCTTTAGAATCTGAATCTCTTCAGAGTCCTCTCAGAGCATTTCCCCTTTCTCCTTTATTTCTTCATCTTTTCTATTTACCTTCCATCCTTTCACCTTTTGCCACAGATTTCACCTCACCCTCTCTCTTTTCATTCATCTTAATCTGCTTCCTTCTCTTCGTTTCACTCACTTTTCGTGAACTGTAGGAACCACAGTCTTTCTCATTTTGTCCTGTCATTTCCATGTATCAGCTTTAGGGTCACATATGCTACAAAGTTTTCGTGTGAATACAATGTATTATTGATCCTATTATTACTTTCTAAATAAATTTCGTTGAATGTTTGTTCATTTGGCTGTTCTATCGCTGCATATATTCCGGTCAAATGCAATGTTCTCACTAAAGCAAAAATGGCAGAAAGCTCACGAACAAAGTGTATTATTACTGCAATTTAACGGCATTTAATATTCTTTCCTCTGGTTGAATACTCACTAATAGTCAATATTTATCCTATTGTTAATCATGTAGCACTTGTGATTAATACATCCATTCACAATCTCATTGCGCTAATTTTATTACAGCACAAATGAGTCAATGTAATTGTATGCGAGACGTGCGTGAATCAGCTTCGTTAAAATTAATCAACTCTTGTGTGAAACGCTCGCGAAACGCTCGTGTTGTTGTGTGAATAGGACGATCAATTGTGTGTTTGCTTCGCAGGGCGACAGCGGTGGCCCCCTGCACGTCCCCATGGACAAGCTCATGTGCATTGCTGGTAAGTTCTGCTCTGCCTCACACTGCGCTCTCCATTCACTCGCCTCTTAAGTGGGGATTTCTACTTGCATTTTTTTATATTTGCATTAGAAAATATAGAAAAATTAGACTTTTGCAAGTATATGTCTCGCCAGTTATCTCGCCTCTTACAACATCCATTGAGATATGATTTTAAAAAAATATAATTTTAATAATTTGTTAAAAATCTGTACTTTCCCATATCTTGGGGGCTATGGTGATCACTCTTGCCATTCTACTTCCTACTAATAGCTCATTAGTAGGCGAGTAGGGAGTGGTTGGGTGTGCACGAGGTACCATTGAATTGCTCTTCGCGCAGGTGTGGTGTCGTGGGGCGACGGCTGCGCGCGGCCCAACTACCCGGGCGTGTACACGCGCGTCAACCGCTACCTGAGCTGGCTCAAGGCACACACCATCGACGCGTGCCCGTGCTCGCCTCCGGGCGGCGCCGCGCCCGCCCCCGCGCCCGCGCCCGGCGCCTACCCCGGCGCCTCCACCGCCCCGCCGCACGCCTACCCGCCCACCCCGGCGCCCGTCACCGAGAACACCGGCGAACGCCACCGCCACCGCCTCTTCGGCTGAGCGGACTTCTATTTGCCCCTCACTCTCCTCACGCTCTCGCTCGGAACTTCCACTTTGATTCCTTACATTTAGACCTTCTCACGCCAATTTCTTTCGCCACCCTCGCAACTCGCAAGCGCCTTCCTACTCTTTGGCCACTTCCGTCGCTTTCAACTAAGGAAAGGGAATTTATTTTGAAAATAATAGTAATCATTGTTGGAAGAACCTAATAATTCCTTATTTAATAAAAAGTAAATATTACTTTCGTTAACGGAAATAATACTTCGCAGAATGTTAGGATACAGTAATAAGCATTTGTCTTCCGAATGATTTTACTTTCATAGGTTCATTTATTTCTTTTGTGGAATTACTATATGCATGTTTTAACGAGTTAATTGAAGTTTATTTCTGTTTATATTAGTTCTTTGAGAACATGACTATTAAGTTATTTCTCAAAATTTTAATGTTAAGCGGTATACATCTGTCCTAACATCCTCGTAAAATTAAGTTTTACGACAGCACTTTTATGCACATTGCTACTTACTAATTAAATTGTAAAAGAACGAACAATATCGGACCTTTGGAAATAGCAAAGAACGTCGGTACGATCACAAATTCGTTGGCCTCTCAAAATGTTCATTGCTCCAAGAAACTAGCTCTTTGTGGCTGCACCTCCAATGCTTAACCTCATGTCTCTTTTTCTTGCTTCTTTGTCTTACTTATTAGGAGTGCCTTGTCAATTTCTCCCAGTGTATTTTATAGAAGCTGGGATTACTACAAGTTTGCTCACTACCTGTTTTTTACAACCTCAATAAGTTATATTCTTTTGAACTAGGCACTTCAATTGAAATGATCACAGTAAGAAAACAAAATGAAATACATCTCGTTTGTGATTCATTCAGAACAAAGTAAGTTGAGAAAAGTAAATGAAAAACTATTGTATTCTTAAGTATTATTGTGACACATTTAACAATGAGTAATTATTTATTTACTATTTATTATTGATATGTAGAAGTGTGCGATGTATTTCAGAGATCAATAAAAAAGACTAAACTAATAACATATCATTTGTTTTTACCTTTCTTTAGACTTGTAACACCCATAGCAAAAAGTATACAACAAACAAGCAACATAATAATAATAATTAGTATTATAATATTATACTACTACTAATTATTATTATTATTATTATTATTATTATTATTATTATTATTATTATTAGATTTTTCTCTTCATCTCCACCGATGTACGGTTCTCAAAATCACACAAGGAAACAATGTTTTGCACAGTGTATTTTGAAAAGTGGAACAAAAACATGATTGTTTTTTCTATACGGCAATTCAGGCTTATGAATTTAGACTATATTTTGCTCTTTATTATAATGCAGCTTTCTGAGTGCTCCGGAAATGCTTTTGAGCAATACTGTTTTTGCGGTCACTTCCCATTCCTTCATGGCCAATCTATTTGCTGATATCACCATTGGAAGCACTTCTAATGCATGCAATCCCTAAGTGTCCTTTAATTCAACAGCCAGTGGTTGGAATTTCTCCTTCTTATCACTAATAGTCTTAACAAGACTGTCATCTGTAGGGACCGCAACATCAAAGAAGTAATTTTTTTTGGTATGTTTTTAAACTGAACTAAATCTGGTCAATTTGCTCCCAGTGTTCAATTAGTGATGATTACACTATCCCACAGAATTCGAGGTCGATCACCGCTGATTACTTGCCCTGTTTTACACTCGTAATAAGGTTTCTCACTCTCTACGCGGCCATCTTGGCAAGGGCTTAGTGAATTACTTTGCTGACGCAATTGTGTCTCTTAAGATATTCTGATTGAGCCTATGAGGGGGGAGGGCATCCACAGGAAATATGTTAGATTGACTCGTTGATAGGTAGGCACATCGAGTAGCAATTTGCTGGCCGATAATTAAGTTTTTATATACTCTCTTTTTAAAAACTTGCTCTTAAGTGGGGAAAATGACCCCTTCATTCTCAACGAAGAGACCTACGGCTTGAAGCCACTCCACTGAGCTTTTCTTATCAATGCTCTCCGAAGTTAAGGTAAAAAAATCTTTGCTGTGTTCTTTTCTTTTCCAAGAATTTACGCGACCCCGATGGTTTTGGTAATCAAAATCTTTGCTTTGTCAGGCGTAATGAGCTCATTTTTTATCCTGATCACAGAGATAAGTACAACCTGTGCACTGATCTCAGAGTGTGGTGATGTCGATGCCTTGATAGCGTAGTTCCTATTTTCCTGTCAAAAGTCTGTAAGGATATTCCCGAAGCCATAAATTTACCAGGTGTCTGATACATATGACAGTCTAATAAGTAACTGAACAGATTAAATATTTGCTTGTATTACGATGTGTTGTGCAGTAAATTAATAACACATCAAGTAATTGAAGCGCTCCTGTGGCTGAATATCTGCATTAGCCTGCACCACCTCTGTGAGTTGTTAGCTAAAGGTCGCCTGACTACATTTCAAGTCCTAAGATATGCTCGTCGGACAAGGATTATGATTGGCTGCATCTTCTCCTTTGAAGACTTTTATTTATTTATTACAATTTTAACAATGACATTTAATGTTTTATAGACCCTTTGGATTGTATAATTGTAAAGAACCTGTAACAAGTATTGTTCTTCAGCTTCTGGACCAATGTCCCCCATCTCGATCAGGTTTTCGCCTAGTTTTCCTGAGCCTTGAGCAAGAACCTCGAGCATTGAGAAGGCCCCTTGTTTTGCTTCTGCAGATAAATGTAACTTAACATTAACTTCTCCCCAGAGCACGTCACACACAGTTTTTAACTGTTTTTGACATAAATAAATAAAACATTACAATCTTGTTTCTAATGTATGTATCGAAAATTCCCAACAACTGTAGTATTCCAAGATATTTGTCGGAATTCCCAGGGTCCAGATTTTTAATAACTGTATCACAGGATATTTGCACGTTTTCCCCGTTTTGAACTCGCCCGCAGACCACGTTTAAGGTAGCGCATTTGTACATTCTAAACTCCATACAAACTGAGTGGCTGAAACTCATGACAAGTTCAAACTCGTTTTGTAAGTCAGCGTACAGTTTGAGATCATTCATGTGGAGCTGGCGTACCAGCTACCAACAACCGGGTTTTTCTTCACTAAATACCCAAATTCCGATTGTGTAAGCCAAAGTAGGCCTAAACTGTCACCTTGAAAGATTCCACGCCGAATTGCATGGTCTTCCGACACATACTACATGGCTCCTTTCTTAATCTGCTGTTGAGTTTTTCATTCTGATATACAAATCCTCAAGAAACCTACCAGACTTAGATTGATCTTATATAAGAAATTGTGCAACAATAGCTGAATTCTTGAATTTATGAGCACGAAAAAACTACCGCACTTGCGTTACTTCCCGGACTGGTAATCGGGAAGAGATTAGATTTATTAGAGAGAGTGTAGAGTGGTTTTCAAAATACTTGCTTGGCGAATCCATGGAAACAAGAGACGAATCCTCTGACGAACGTCCGAAAACCACACATTTTACTACGTTTTGTAAGTGATCCAAGTTTTCAAATTGGGATAGTAAAAGAAATCGCTGTTCACCGTTCCACATTCTCGAAGACGTCACCAAATGTTATTCAAAAAATAATTTACAATTTCCATATTTGGATACCATTTCCAAAATTATGTAGATATTGCCCAGGCGGAATGAGTTTTGCATTTCAACTTACCCAGTGCAATTGGTGCAAGAGCCATTGCTATTGTACAAGTACGTTGGAATGAATATCTCAACCGTAAGGCATTTACTCCAACGATTTGTCTTCGCTTAGGCGCACGGATATGCACATTACAAAAAAATATGATTATTATTAGGAATATAACTAATAAAATAAATTTAAATTCCGATAAAAATTGTCTTTTTCGTCTTTACGTCCGGGCACTTCGTCTCAAACACGGGATTCTCAACTCCTTCTATGACGTCCACCTCCCCCCATGGGTTCAAAATAATTTTTCCATTTCCTGTTGTTTTCATGTCTTCTTGTTTATTCATATTCTTTCAAATTATTTGCCTTGTTTGCACTTCGTGCAATATCCCTGGTTTTCCACAAACCTGTTCCAACTTATTAATAGTTGAGTATGCAGTTTTCTTATAATGAATACAAATAAGCTATTACTTCTTCCTCGAGTTTTCAAAGCAATTGCTTCACACAATATGAATGAAGGACATGGGTAATTCCTCTTATCTTGAGCTATTTCTTCATTGGTGAGTAACTGCTCGGACGAAGAGCAATTGCTTACTTTTCGTACGAATGAAATTGAGAATTTGCTTCTAGTGCGAAGCATTTCCTTCGAATTTTCGGAGCAACTTCTGCAGGTGACTCAAATGGTATTGATGTTGCAGATTGGCCATAGATGCCCGTAAGGGTAGGAATTGTCAAACCGCAAGGGCATGAACGTGCATTGCATTTTTCATGCGTTCACAAAACTGCACAAAGAGGGCTCTGCATGGAGTTCTCAATTTCATACATTTCTTTCTCAAAATTAAATATGCTATATAAAGTCAGAATATCGATATTTGAATAAATGCTAATAATGCTGCAGAACGTATACTTCATTAGTTTTAGAGAGCATGTAATAAGTTTGTGAAATTACAGAGATCTCAATTTGCATAGATAAATTATTTCTGAAAAAAACTCGTTAAATGTATTAATACTTTTATGTAAAACCTACGTCGTTTTTATCTACATTTTACAACATAATTAATTTGGCCCGATCTTCATCTCGTGTCCATTATTCTTTTTAATACGCTTTTATCCCTTCTTTTTCCATCAACATTTTATGATGCTATCAAAATGGAATTTTTCTCGTTCCAAAATTTAGTGAAAGGCTTTGCATAGAGAAATGTGTATTTTACTCCGATGACAGATTAATAGAGAAATATGGATTATGTTTCAAGATACGAGGGGTGTGAAGTCGACATTTATAAAAATGCAATTTGGTTTCTTCTCACTAACTTTATGTTTTTAAGAGTAAATT